TGCAGATTATACCAAATAACTAACCTATGTGTTCTTTTAGACTATCCTCTACAACTATGCCAAAATCGAGATCTGTTCAGCAGTTTTTTTTGTCGGTGCTATACCGTCCGTTCAGCTGTTTAGGTTGCCAGCTCTAACTCAACAAAACAATAAATCTAATCGTTCGCATTTATAACATTATTAAGATGAGTAAAAGCTGATCTATTGCGTATAATTTCGCAATATTGCCATGTCTCGTCTTGTTCTGACTGATAGAAGGTTAATATTATTTTTCCATTAAGTAAGGTGTCAATCGAGGTTTTTTTTATTTTTTGATGCGGCTTTTGCCGCTCTCGTCGCTCCCCTGACATATATTTCTCAGGGACCAGGGATGTGGGTGTTTTTATTTTCAAATTACTTTAAAGTGTTTCCAAATCTAAAATTACATGTATCTTGTTTTTATATCACAGCTTTTATTTTTATATTTAACAATTGTTTTGTATGTGAGATTGTCGTACGTGTGGGCGAGTGGCATGCCGATGTCGTGGTGTTGGCGGCAGCAGCTGGGCGAGCTGTACGTGGGCGCGGGGCTGGTGAAGGCCGCGCTGGAGCAGTTCCAGCGGCTGCGGCTGTGGGAGGACGTGGTGCTCTGCTACACATTGCTGCAGCTGCGACACAAGGTATACACACTTCAAAAGAAATCGGTACTTCTACTTCGTGTAGTAGCGGCGCAACACTAGTTCATTGCTTTACACGTCCCATCTCTATGACAGCTGTCAATGTCATTTGAGTATTAAGAGCGCGCGCACATTTTTAACTAAACTGTCTCATAACTGTTTAGTTTCGCTTTGATTTATATGACCTTATATCTCAGCTCACTACTCGATTGTTGGTTGTGCAACTAAACAGTTGTATGGGCTCTTAAACAATCGACAATCGCACAACACTTGTGCGATAGTTTATTTAAAGGTGTGCGCATGGTTTAAATGAAAGTAAAGGAAATTTGAAATAAGTTTACGATAAATAACTTCAAGCATCATGTGTATAAATAAATTTAAAAGATTTATTTTTATTTTTTTAACAGGCAGCAGAAGTAATCCAGCAGCAAATAGACATAAAACCAACTGTCAAATTATATTGTCTTTTAGGTGATGCGACTGGTACGTTCAATCATAATTTTTTTTTTCGAATAGTGGCATTCAAACATTTAAAAATAATTTAGTGAATATTTCACAGATGATGTGTCTTGTTATGAAAAGGCGTGGGAGTTTTCTAATCATAAAAGCAGTCGCGCGCAAAGACATTGGGGCAATTTCCTTTTTAATCAGAAGAAATATGAAGAATGTATCCCACATTATGAGAAATCAGTTGAAATCAACTCTATACAGGAAAGTGTGTGGGCTAGATTAGGGTGAGTTTCTTAAACCATTATGCTTATTTTATACCCGTAACCTGTTTAGTAAATTTATAAAGGAGCAGTGATTCAATATGCAAATAAATAATGATATCGAAATTGACGTTAGTAACAAATACAAATTACTTTCTTTAGTTGTATTTAAGTGTTTGGAAAATACATAAATTTTATATTTCACACACAGGAAAGAAATATTGAATTGATTTATGTCGAAATTAAATGTAAGAAGATTATACATACGTGGAAAGGAATGTAACGGAAGTGTGAGCGAGAGGGCGTGTGAGCGAGATGGAGGAAAATTGAAAATTGAAGGTCAAAAGGTTAACATAACCTGGAAAGGATGTAAAGAGCAAATGACGAGTACGAGTTTTATTTTCAATTTTCGAAGTTTTACTTGATCATCAAGAACTATATTTATAAGTAACAATAACAGGTTCCAAAGAGAATTTTCGTATTTTTAGTTACGCGGCTCTGTTGACCGAACAGTGGGAATTGTCGGGCAAGGCATACCGCCGCTACACCTACCTACACCCTAACACATTCGAGGCGTGGAACAACCTCGCTAAGGTGTACGTGCAGCAAGGGGACAAGCAGAGAGCTTACAAATGTCTCATGGAATCTCTGCGTTATAACTACGACAACTGGAAGGTATATTTTAATATGTCGTTTCAACACAAACCCGAAATGTTTTCACCATTTTTTGTTGTTTTTGTTGTTTCACCATTACACTTTGTTGTTAAAACAAGTAAAATCCATAATATATGGTAAACTAATTGTCCCCGTGTACTTCATCCGCATGAAATTATAAAAACTTTATTTTATTGTTTACATTTCTGAAATTTTCAATTGCATATGTCAAAATTCAAATACTCAAATGACAACGAAGGCCTTTGACATTGGAAAACAATTACCGTTACCATGGCAACCTTGCTATCTTCATGTTGTCAGCTTGTATTTTTTTATCCCACGTGAAGTTTTTTCCAATTTATTTACCCCCAAAGTTTAATAGCGAGAAAATATATAGCCTAAAGCGTGTCGTAAGTAGGGCTTTTTATTAAGATAAGAGTTATTCAAAAACACTGTGATTGCTGACGTCTTACGTCACGAAGTAGTGTGTTTTTACGCTTTCGTATAGAAGTCTAAATATTATATAAGTATAGAAGTATAAATATACATAGATAGATTAAAAAAATCAAAATTAAAATTCTTAGAAAACAATGTAGGACTTTCTCATTAGCTGATAATTTAAGTAACCATGGCAACTTTTTAGTTGTGGGAGAACATAGTATTGGTGAGTATGGAGACGGGGCACGTGGAGGAGGTGGTGCGAGGAGTGCATCGTCTGCTGGACCTGCGCGGAAAGTACGAAGACCTTCAGGTCTTGACTTTGCTCGTGCACACCATCCTACACAGACAGGGCCTCGGAGACGACGATAGCGAGGCTAGGTATGAAGGTTTTTACTATGAAACATTGCGCACAATTTTAGCTACAAAAAACACTTCACAGATTTTAAGTCGCCAAAAATATTCAAACACCCAGTACTTATTAATTTTCTAAAAGACCTTAAATGATACTAAAAACTATGACTAATTGAACATAGATGGCTATAGTATTTAAATATCACTCACTTCTAGTTTAAAAATATATTTCTTACAGATTACGAAAACGAGCCCTCGAACTGTTTGGCAGAATCACTTCTATACATCAGAACAAACCAGAAATATGGCAATTGTATTCCGATCTAAGTACAACTTATTTGCTTAAAGCACAACGACTGTTAAAAGCTTACAAAGGCTACACTCAAGTGAGTTATTTACACCATCTGAATCTATCTAGAATCATTAGGAATAGCACATTTTATTCATAATTTTCTATTACAGAGTGGTGACTGGCCAAATAATCCGGAAACCTGTATAAAAGTAATGGAGTTAACACAAAACCTTTTAGAACACAGTTTAAAAGCAAGACAGGAGGTAGAAGATAATGAAAAACTACAAGCGGAGCAACAATTATCTTCTGCTCGCTTGACCGGACAGGCCGTCATACGTGCTGTGGAGAAACAAGACTGGCCGGAAACTAAAACGCTATTAGAAGAATTAAAAAATATTTTTAATACTGTTACAGATTATATAAAATCCATAATGTAAATAATAAATATTGTTTATAAAAATCCCTTTTTTAGTTGTCCCTTTTCCGGTACAGATATTTTAAATGGAGATTGCTGAAAAGCCTTTTGCATTAATTCAAAATTAAAGCCACTTAAAAATAAAATATTAAACGCTTGAGAAACTTAGCGGAAAGTTGAGACGAACTTTAAATCAATTATGTTTGCATAATGAGCTTTAGAGCAAAAATTATCGCAAAACGAAACGTAAAGGTTGAATGATATGTTTTTGACATATTTGATTACTGGTGATTGACATTGACAGATAGATTTTCTATAAGAAAAGCAATAGGAAATGGGAGTACTTTTGTTATTTACTTAATTTTTTTAAATAAAAGTGTTTTCTTTACGATGTACAATTGAAACTGTCATTAAATAATGGCCGCGGCAAACGAAGACGAAATACTAGAAGGTTTTCTGTGCCCGATATGTAAAGCAGACTTGAAATCTGCCACTCAGTTAACGAATCACTTTGAGAGTTTACACCAGGAAGAACAGGACGTTCTTAAATCTCTGAAGGAAATATTCGGCAAAGCAAAGAAAATAATCTTAAACAATGATGAAACAGAGTTGAAAGAAACTTTTGATCGGGCGTTAAAATTTAATTCGCAAGAATATTATTATCCTCATGAAGAACAATCATTAGGTGTGTCTCGCAGTTCTACTGATTACTTTAGAGGTGTAAGGTCAGCACGACTGGAAAGATATGCAACAGAAACTAATAAACTGCTTATACGCTTAGATAAGCTTATGTGCAATATGCCTAGTGAACCAAATCAAAGGAAGGCATTTGAACAAGAGGTAAGCGAACACTATTTTGCTTAAAACTTATCATTCTCTGGAAATTTTAATAACCATTTTTAATAGGAGCTTAATGTATTAATAATCATGTTAAATTTTATCTATCAAAAAAGATAAGTTATCTTATTTTATTGCCTAATTGGTTTTTTCTTTTGGATAAATAAGAAACACCTGGTTTTTAAAAGGTATAAAGGAAAATAAAATGATGATAATATTTATTGCAGATTGTTCCATGGCTAGATGGTTCTTCCGTGAAACTATGTCCCAACTGTGCTAAAGCCTTCAACCTGACAAGACGGAAGCATCACTGTCGCCTCTGTGGCTCTCTACTCTGTCATGATTGCTCTGTCTTCCTTGATTTAACTGTGGCAAGTATGTGTAAATGTTTCCTACAGTTAATTCTTTATTTTAATATGAGTATTTAGAGTAAGATATATTTAGTTATTTAATATTTAAAAAAAATAACAATTTCTATTTTAGATAGTTTTTTTTAGATGACTTACATTTTTAAATGAGATATTCATATGTTATCACATAGGGTTGGAGTGAAAGGGTAATTGGATTTAATTAAATCAGCTTATAGTATTGGCTTCACGACCCGACTAGAAACTTCATTTTAAATAAGAATTGGTCTGCCATAAAGCCTATAAAACAACAGATTCAAACAAAAACTATTTGCACAGATATTATTAAAACAATGTATTACTGACTGTAATGTTTTATTCTACATCACAATACACCACCAATGCATATTTGTAACACAGACTCAAACCTGAATAAATGTTGAACATATCTCTACAGAATCAATTGTCGATCCGTCCATACCGCAAACATCACAACCAGAGCATGAAGTTACCGAGAAGAATGGACTACGTCTTTGCGAACATTGCTACAATCTGATAGAGTTACGTAAACAGATCCAAGAGAGACGTAATATGAAGACAGCTCTTGTTACCACATATGAGCAAATGAGGAGTTTGATGGATCAAGCCAGGCCGGCTGTTGCTATGTATGA